TAATAAATAAATTGAGATGAACTTCCTCATAAAGAGAATCTAAGGCAATAACATAGCAACAACCATAAAATTAATTGTTAAAAAAAATATATAGCTAATGAGGAATTGAAGAATGATGCATTGAAAAGTGTTAAGAATTATTATAAAAAAAAGTAAAAAAAGAAGACTAATAAAATTATTTTATTAATAGGAAATAAAGCATAAAAATACTCCTCAAGACACTTTAATTACCCATCAGTTTAAGGATGGTGAGAAGTTTATAATTTTCTTTTAACTTAAAGGAAGGAAAGAAACTATTGTCAAAAGATGGAAATAAATTGAAGCCCTTAATTAGTAATAATATTATCTAACAATACATGAAGATGAAAACTCTGTTTGTAAATAAATTCACTCAGTTACTCATTTTCAATTATCTTTCAACATTATAGTGCATGTGATCATGGGATGAGATTTGGATATACTGTCACCGTGGATCCTTGGAACTTTGAGGGATAAATGGGGATAAAATAGCCACTAAAGACTTTCTCATTAAGCAATTGCCCATTTTCCAATTGGCTTAAGGGGAGAAAGATAAGGTGCATTACATGTGGTATCGGAGTAAATGGCATGGGTTTGATTCTTATTGATTTGTGGCTATTTAAAAATATAATATACCCTTGAGCAAGGTATATTACTACCCCTAAATTTGAAATCGTATATATTGAACATCCATGCGTACGTCCTTCCTCTTGTGTGAAGTATACACGGACGAAGGTATCCACTATAGGACTACGGTACGGGTGGATGATTAGTTGCCTCACAGAGAATAGTTAATCTACACAATAGAAATATTGGTAAATTCAGTGTGTGACTGCAATACAAGTAGATGACTAGTTGCCTCACATGGAATACTTAATCTACACAATAGAAGGATTGGTAGATTCAGTATGAAAATGGAAGTGTTGGTTCCCCTTGGCTCGGTAGGGGTTGTTAGTCAAATAGTAATGAAGATATTGATATCTTT